GGCAAGCATTTTATGTGGCTTTTAAACAGACTACACTTAAGAGTATTTGCAGGACAAAGTGTCCCAGTTACCTGTATCCACAGAGATGGCTGTAACTGTGTTGTCTGAAGGAATTTGCTTGAATGGTGCTATAGGGAGCCATTTCTGAAATCCAAGGAGCAATATCCCACATCCAATTGAGGTGCCACTGCTCATGAAATGACACGGTACCATTACAGTGTTTCCTGCAGGAGTAGCCTTTTCATATAACATTTGAAGATACTTTGAATTTCTCAGTTTGCGTTTGTAATACTGAGATAACATTGCACAGTTGTATTAAGTAGCTAAATAATATTGCATTTTTAATAGGGCAGGAAGAGCCAGACACTTTCTATAGGAAGCAATATAAAAGCATACCAAATAAGCATGCATTTATATTCCCATCCTTTCCATATTTGCATTAGGAACATAACAGCACACTGAGAATTGGTGCTTAAGAAGTGCAGTCCTTAGGAATAATGATTATACAAAGCAATGCAAATATCTCTCTGCTAAGGTCCTTGCGATGTCTGCCCATTTAATTGTCTCAGTTGCACATAATAGAAAATAATGTTTACATTGCTTTGGAAAGAGAATGGTTTTAAAATAGTCTGCTACTTAGGGCACACTTCTTAACAGGAGAAAGGCTACTGAGAGTGACATCCTGCCATAAGAAGCTGGCAAGGTAGTTCATTTCATCTGAAGAGTCTTGCTTTGCTCGACCTCCCCAGGAGATGTGTTCTTTGAACCCAATCCTCTGACAGCAAATGTTTCTTCTGGTTCTGTAGAAATGTAAGCCTGCCTTTCTCTACCAGAGTCTGTGCGCAAATACACAACAGAAAGGTTGGCCCAGACTATCATTTGATGCATCCCAGTTTGTGGAGCAGATGGAAATATTTGGCCATTTTGCACCACCTTAGTTTGTCTTCCTTTGCCGAGTTACCAATATTGTTCTTCCCGTTAGCAGTAATACTTCCCAGAGTTACACCTTGCTTAGAGAAATGCACCACTGTATATAATCAGCATGAGTAAAAAGCAATAGACCGGTGTATCTGTAATGCAATGGAGTCATTAGCCATCTGTGTGTACAGTGCTAATTGGAAGCAGCAGAATGCACAGGCGCAAGGCTCTGTTTCCTATTTTACAGAGTTGCCAATGGGCTGTAAGAGCCACAGCGAATCTAAATCTTCCTGAATATCACTACTTCAATTTTATCTTCGCCCATTATCATATTTTTACTAGTATTAGTAAATTTTCTAGACACTGTGCAAAGATTTAAAAGATGACATGGCTCTGCCCTGAGGCTTACAGTCGAAATAACACAATGTAAAAGGAAGGAGGGGGGAAGTATAAGGAGAAAAGAGAAAAAGCAAGCCATTTCTGGTGCCCAAAGGTTCTAGTTACAAAATGGCCAGGTAGAATTGGCTGCTGAGGAGAAAGTTCCAAGTGTGGAGTTCTGGTTTCAGCTGAGCTGATGGAGCTGCCTGCACTATCTCATCTCTCCCTGTAGTATAACCAGGGATTCTCTGCTAAAAGAGAACTTGGGGAGAGGAAGAGACAAATGGCAACTGGGTCCACAGTTTTCATCCATCGCTCCTTAAAAAATAAGTAGTGACCCTACCAGTTTGTCATATCTGTATGTAATCAGAATAAATAAAAAGATGTGGAATAATGGATGGCATGATGCGAGGAGCTTTAATGACCTAGCCTTTTATTGGTAAAACTTCTGTGTTTAGGTATGTATCCCCAGACAAATGCGTGTAAATCCTTGATAGTGTCAGTGTTTGTAAAAAGCAAAAAAAGGAGGAAAAGGTTCTGACCTCCCTTTGTCTCCTCAGCCTGGTCCTCGGACCCTTGTCAGCACAAAAAAGAGTCCACGAGAATATCCTTGCAGAGTTTTATTCTCAAAAGTCTTTGTGCAAAACACGACTGAATAACTATACACACCAGCACTAACCAACCCAAACACCAGCCTCAGCCTCAAACTAACATTTCTCACTTATATATACAACTTGGTGCAGACCACTGAGTCATGCTGACCCAGCTTTATTCGCATTAAAGAAACAGCGGCCATTTTAGCCGTGACAGATAGAAGGTCAAGATGGCCCCGTCCCTCAAATTCCACTTGCCCCCAATGAGAAATTCTGTTTTGAATATATATTAAAATAGGCACCTTTGTATTTCCTATAAAAGAGGCAAGGCTTAAAAATGAAGTGAGATGGTGCAATCATCCAGGACCAGTCCTAGGAAAAATAGTGCCTTTCCCCAACCTCTCCATTTCTGTTTTGCCATGTTGCCAAGTTGCGCAAGACTTCAAAGCATGGTAGTGTAACAGACTTCATTGCTCCCAGGCTTTCCTAATAACCAGGGCCTTTTTCTGGGGATACTCAAGGGTACACAGTACCGGCACACACACACACACACACACACACACACACACACACACCCCCGAGGAGAAAAGCAGGTTAAAATTATGGTACTGTACTTACTGTAACAACTTCATGGTGAGTGCCATCCCTATTTTTCTAGAAGAAAAGCGCTGCTAACAATGTTCAACAAATGACTCAGAGATACCTCTCAATAATTTTGCCCTAGTACAGTGGTACCTCGGGATGCGAATGGGATCCGTTCCGGAGCCCCGTTCGCATCCTGAATTGAATGTAACAAGCGATGGCGTCTGTGTGTGCGCGGGTCGTGTTTTGCTGCTTCCGCACATGCGCGTGATGTCATTTTGAGCGTCTGCGCATGCAGGAGTGGCGAAACCCAGAAGTAACATGCTCCATTACTTCCGTGTTGCTGCGAAGCACAACTCGAACGCGCTCAACCCAAAACACATTCAACCTGAGGTATGACTGTACACTGTACACTCAAACATTAAACTTCAGGTTGGTACCCAGGGCACACACCCAGCTCACCCTCTCTTAAGGCTGTCCCTGCACAGCCCCATTCTTTGAAAGGAAGTAGAGTTTCCAAACTCAGATGAGCAGTAGAAGCTGTGGAGACACCACAGGTAAGAGTTGCTTTCAGTGGGGCTATTGCACATTTACATGTCTCACAGTCCACAGAAGTGACAAGATCACAACTTTCCTCTTTACCAGTTGCTAAGATTCACAAGTCACGAGAGGGCTATTGCACTCGTGTCCTGCTTTGGGGCACCCCATGGGCATTTGATGAGAACAGGAAGCTGGACTGGATAGGCCATCTTATGCTCATAACCTGCTACTGTCTTGCTCAAACCTGATTTCATAAGTCTTCCTGGCAGGAATAAGTCACAGTCTCAGTGATTCTCTATGATATACCAAATAATTAAAATGAAGGGTTATCATATTAATAAAATGCAGTACTGTATATACATAGTTTTTACTATATGCTGTATCTTCACATAGACTCACTTAGAAAAATTCATTGTCTTGAAAATTACTTAACATCACATGGCAATAGATCTTATAGTTGAATGCACTGGTTGGATAATAACCTACACACAATGTCGGAGCCAGCCGTGACAAAGTGGCGAAGTTTAGCATAAAATAATGACACAGAGAGCCAGCAATATTTTCATGATGGTAGGAGCAGCTCCTTTTCCTCCCTCTCCTCCTGCAGTTACTTTATTCCTTTGTCCTCTCTCTCCAGCCGCATGGCTGTTTGCCAGTGTCTCACGTTACCTCATCCGGTCAAGGCTTTTATTGCCCCCTTCACCGTATAAGGTCAATCAGTGCCCAGAGGAAACACAACTGCATTACATTCCAATACATTGTAAAGCTCAGAGTGCTGGTCAGCCGAGGTCAGGGGGCACCCTGCAATATTACAAGCCTTTACCGTGGCTTTATGACTCCCACATTCCCTCTTTCTTTACTTTATATCAGAGTCAATACGCGATAAGCGACTCTTTGACACCGGAAGCGGGCTGCGGACTGGAGAACCATGCAGTACATATAGAGATTATAGAAAGAATACATTGGATACAGCAACACAAAATAATGCAAATAACTACTATAATGATCACTAAAATCAATAACTACTATAATGATCACTAAAATCCGGAAGCCAAGAATATAATAATTCTGATTCCAAGCTGCATGGTAGGCTTCCTTTTAGTTTATTAGCCATGCACTGGTGTCACTCCTATAGCACTGAGATTTGTCACTGTATATTCCTGTAAGAGAACAAGAGCTATTAAAAGTGAAATTCAATGTATATTTGCAGTTTGGATATATGCCCCATGATTCTTTCCCCTCCTTAATTTGAAAATAAATGGGGGGAGGCTCATGGAGGGTCAATTGTACTGGAGGCTTAGGGGATATAATATTAGTAAATTGAAAAGATCCATTGACAGGCACACCATGAAGCATTATGCCGGAATGACTGGCATACACACCCAACATTTAGAAGCATGCAATAAACTGGCAAACATAATCATATCTTGTACAAAAATATTATCCCTCCATATCTTATGATAATTTTCTCCCCTAAAAGTCTTATTCAACAACACTGTTCTTCTAGTTTGAAAATGGCTGAGCTGTGGATACTGCCAGCCAGAGTAGGAAGCTGACGACAGCTGCTTGCCAGCCGATGAGGTGAAAAATGGTGGTTTCAACTGGACTGGTCGTCTGCTTCTCTTCCTTGTATAACGGTGCAGCAAAGGATGGCAAGGCAAATGGTTAGGAAGGCAAACACTGCCAGATGCAGCTCGTGTGCAGCACCTCTAGGTGGCACATGTGGAAAGGTTTCAATGCTTCACCCACAAAATGTTGACCAAGTGTAGGGGAGTTCCGCATGCCTTGAGGCAGGACAACCCACTGATATCGCTGGGTGGGCTGCGAATTGTGATATACTGGCAATGTAAAAGCAAACTGTTCCCTGTCTGCTGGAGCCAGTGGGATGAAGATGGTTCAATGTGGCCGAAAGTCAATTGTTCAGAAATAAGCTGGTCAGAGATAGCTGGTGCCGCTGCTGCGGATTTTTCTTTGGTAGAGGCCACTGTTCTACCCACACGGGGGTATCGGTGATCCTGGTTTGCCACCCTGGAAATAAGTTGTATCGGTGGCTACAGGCTGGTTTTCATTTAGCACTGTTGCCAGCAGATAAGCCTTGTGGCTGGCTGTTCCAACAGACTGACAAATGTGAAGCATGGCTGCTGTGTCTGTGGCAGGATTGTGTATTATCGGTCGCAATGCAAGTTTACAATCCTCATTGGCATTTTCAAAGGCCAATTGTTTGATAATTATTTGTTTGGCTTCAGGATTTTCAATTTGGCGACTCACTGCTGTAAGCAGCCTGTCCATAAAGGAAGAATATGATTCTCTTGCCTCTTGCCTGATTGAACCCCACCTTGACTGAATACTGGTGGGTTCTGGGATTTTTCTCATTGCTTGTTTAGCAGCAAGAGCAGTGTCCCTCAATAAGATTTGCAGCAGTGTGGCTTGCACTGAAGCTTGAGCGAAGGGACCACGCCCCAACATGGCATCTAAGACGTCTGCGAGGGTAACATTTGGATTATTTCCTCTGACTTGTTGTAACAAGGCTGGAGCATAAGCACGGCAGGCAGTTTCCCATTCGTAGGCAAACAAAACACCAGCTGATGGGGGCAACACTGTATGGGCCAAAAGCTTTATGTCCTCTGGAACCAAGAGCTGGGCTAATGTGGCTTCTAAAAGCGCCTGCGTATATGGGGCTTGGAGTCCATTGGCCTTTACTGACTGTTGCAGCTCTCTCAGAATCTTAAAGTCAAAAGGTTGGTGCTGGGCTTGGGTGCCTGCAGGGGCACCAGCAGGGGGCACAATAACAGGGAATGCCATAGTATCCTGAATTAAGGAAGAGGCAAGGACTGCACGTTGAAAAGGAGTAGCTGGTTCTGCCACTGAAAGAGCAGGATCATTGCCAGCCAGACCACGGTATTTTTGCAGGATTAGGTCCTCTGGTGAGGAACTGTAGTCCGGAGGTTTGGGGTCTGGAGGTTTGGGGTCTGGCAAAGCAAGTATTGGAACAGTCTCTAACACAGCAGGCTGAATTAAAGAAGCTGAAGGTTGTGTGGGCAATGCAGCCATAGAGATATTTTTTGGTGATAAGGAGTCCATGGCATAACGAACCTTGCACCATGCATTTAAAATCCGAACACTTATGCTGGGGTGCCCATGAAAATGTTCCCCGATCTTGTCCCAAAGTTTTAATTCCCAAGTCCCATCTGCAGGAAACCAGGGGGAATGCTCTTTGATAGTCAGAATGAGCTGTATCAAATCACCATCCGGAACTTCCAATTCGTTGGAGGAGAGGAGAAATTTTAAGTCTTTTAAAAATTTCTGTTGGGGAGCAGACAAAGAGCTGCCCATTTTTCTAAAATCAATATAAATAAGGGATCGGAACTCACCGGGATCTTTTTAAGATGAATAGCGCTTGAAACCCTGGCCGGGCGTAGTGAGCCGATGATATCCTTTGCTAGGATCGATAAACCTCACACGGTTTCCTTTTAAAACCTCAGTCTGCCTCAGACTGTTTTCTTTAAGTTGCCTCTTCTTAGTCCTCAGACGTATTCTTTTATTCTGCCTCACACGGGGCACCACTTGTCGGAGCCAGCCGTGACAAAGTGGCGAAGTTTAGCATAAAATAATGACACAGAGAGCCAGCAATATTTTCATGATGGTAGGAGCAGCTCCTTTTCCTCCCTCTCCTCCTGCAGTTACTTTATTCCTTTGTCCTCTCTCTCCAGCCGCATGGCTGTTTGCCAGTGTCTCACGTTACCTCATCCGGTCAAGGCTTTTATTGCCCCTTCACCGTATAAGGTCAATCAGTGCCCAGAGGAAACACAACTGCATTACATTCCAATACATTGTAAAGCTCAGAGTGCTGGTCAGCCGAGGTCAGGGGGCACCCTGCAATATTACAAGCCTTTACCGTGGCTTTATGACTCCCACAACACAATCTCAAGCTTCTCACATTTATCTGATGGCAGAGAGAGAGAGAGAGAGAGAGAGAGATGCAAACATCTGTAGATTTGCTCTCCTTGTTTGGAGAGAAGGTCTCCTAACACTCCTGGAACTACTCCCCCAAACAGTTTCATTTTTTTCTTAAGATGCCTTTCAGGTTTTGCTATTGCTTTTTGCCATGCTTTTGGTCTACAGTACAGTATATACAGGGTTGGGTTTGTGTGCTTTGCTCATGCAGTGATGGAGATGGTGATGATGATTGCAATGTTGTTATAATGAAAATGGCTTAATAAAAAAGATGAGCCTTTTTGCCTGGGGTTCCCAGGAAATTATATGAGCTATAACAAATATACGTCCTCAAGGTGTTCTTGAATAGCCTCCTCGTGGGTGTGTGTGTGTGTGTGTGTGTGTGTGTTTCTTTCCATTTTGTAGTTTACAAACAAGGAGCATTCTGAGAATTGTCACTATTAGGAGTGAGAACATACATATAATTATAGCAATTTTGCAACGTTTCAGCATGGATGACGATTCATTAGTACATGCTGATGGTGCCAGTAATTTTGCTCTGTTTCATTACTAGGCCTAGGAACTTCCCACTGAAACAGTGCTAACATCAACAAATGTTTGTGGAATTTATACCCATCCAATAAAATTCCCAGGACAGCTTACAGAATTTTAAAACACAACAAAGCGTGTTTTAAGATACATACAAAAAACGAAACACACAAGGTTACTGGATGATGCTTGGAGCCATTCTTGGTGTTTGCTTTATGGAGGTGCTATTTCTTGCTCCAGAGCAAGGATGGGGAACCTGCTTCCTGCTCAGGATCCCATTTTGTCAGGAGTAATCTGTTAAGGGCTGCATGTTAAGAGGTTCTATGTACAATTAAGTGGTGTATAAATTTTGGGCTCAACTATTTTATTCAGGAATGAATTATCATTACTAAGTTAAGTCAATTAATTTCAGTAGGTGTATTCTGAATAAAAATTAGCTGAACTTTGTTAAATAAAACAGTGCTGGCAATGGATGGTGCTAGAGCCCAAAGTGGACAAGGCACTCATTTTCTCTCCCTCTCTCTGCCACCCTCTTTTCCCTCTTCTTCCTTTTCACCTGTGTGAAATTAGGCTGAGGCTTCAGACACAGGTAGCTCACACCTGCTCTCCTTTTAAAAAAAAAGATGCATATTATTATGTCTTCTTCTTCTTTGGTGATCACTCGTAGCCAAGTAAGATTGTCTTCCATAAACATGGTTTTAACAATCAGTCCATAAGTGACTGTGGGGGCCAATTCTGGATCCACATGTCCTTCCGCAGTGGGGACATTGGTTTCTGGGTGGGAGTTGATCACAGTGTGGATTTGCCAAGCATGCCTTCCTCCTAGCACGTTTCTCCCTTGCGCCCTGAGTTCGAGTGTCTTCAAAGCCCATGACACCTTTGGTAAACGCTGTTCTCCAACTGGAGCGCTTGCAGGCCAGTGTTTCCCAGTTGTCAGTGTTTATACTATTTTTTTAGATTTGCCTTGAGGCAGTCTTTAAACCTCGTTTGTTGACCACCAGCATTATGCTTTCAGTTTTTAAGTTCGGAAAAGAGTAGTTGCTATAGAAGATGATCATCAGGCATCCACACAACATGAGCAGTCCAACGAAGTTGATGTTGAAGAATCATTGCTTCAACATTGGTCATCTTTGCTTCTTCCACTACACTGTTATTAGTTCACCTGTCTTCCCAAGTGATGTGTAAAATTTTCGGAAACACCTTTGATGGAGTCTTTTGAGGAGTTGGAGGTGGCATTTATAAGTGGTCCATGTTTCACAAGCATATAGTAAGGTTGGTAGTACAATAGCTTTGTAAACAAGCATTTTGGTTTCCCTGTGACTGTCCCAGTCCTCAAACACTCTGTACTTCAATTGGGAGAAAGCCGCACTCGCGGAGCTCAGGCGATGCTGGATGTTGGCCCTTGTGGAAAGATAACTGCCTAGGTAAGAGAAGTCATTGGGCTTTGAGAGCCATTGTTATCTGCGATTGTTGCTGTCATATTATCATGGAGGAGCCGAATGAAGCTATTGCACTGCGCTGGAAAGAACATTACCAACATCTCCTTAACCGCAACTTCCCCATAGCTGCTGAGGTCCTCTCACAAATTCTGCAAAAACAAGTTAGAGATGAGCATCTCCAAATCTGGGAGAGTTGTGTACAGCTATTAACCAAATGAAAAACAACAAAACCAGTGGACCTGATGGGATACCTGCCGAAATCTTCAAAGTAGGCGGAATTGAACTTACACAACAACTTCACAAGCTCATTGAAAAAATCTGGGAAAGAGAAGATATCCCAGCAGTCTTTAGAGATGCCAAAATTGTCGATCTCTTTAAAAAAAAGGTGTCAGAACTGATTGTGGAAACTATTGAGGCAAACTATTAGCTGTGGCCAGCAAAATTCTCGTAAGGATTTTAGCAAACCGTCTTGTAACAATATCCGAGGTGACCCTTCCTGAATCCCAAAATGGTTCTTGGCCTTCTGGGGGGACAGTGGACATCGTTTTCACTGTTTGGCAGCTTCAAGAAAAATGCAGAGAACAAAACCAACCCCTGTATATGGTGTTTATTGACCCGACTAAGGCTTTTGACACTGTAAATCGTAATGTCCTGTAGACTGTCCTTCTGAAAATTGGCTGCCCAGATAAATTTGTAAACATCAATTTGTAAACATATTATTATGAGGCCTGCCTTGAAAGTGGTATACAAATACGAAAAAATATGGATAGTACATGGTACATGATGGTACGTGATATGACATGAGGTCATCAGTGTGTGTGTGTGTGTGTGTTCATGTTCATGTGTGAGTAAAGAATGTCAAGGCTTTCTGAGATAATCCTCTCATGAAGCGAGTTGTCAGTGCTCTCTGTCTTTCCAGAGGGAACTTGAACGGTGTCATGGGTGGCATTCAATGTCATGCTATTACAAACGTTCCATCTGCACAAACATTGCAGCTTACCCTATGGAACAAACCCCACCCCCTTCTGTAGATGAGGAAAGTGGGGAAAGCAAGCCCTCTTGCACAAACAGAAGTGCTTGAGCAGGGCTTCTGTCAATGGGGCTCCTTGGGTGAATCCCACTCATTAGCTCTACTTTATTGCAATAGAAGATGGGATATGCAATTAGCCAAATCAATATCTAGCCTGTATAGGAAAACACAAATGCGAACCTAGTTATATCTTTTTTCTTATAAGTGAAACTCTTGTACTTTTCTTTTGTTAATTTAACCTTGATTGAAATTCAGTAGAGCCACTGTAGGCCAGATGCAGTTGCTTCAGGTGCCAGATTTAGCCTTGGGGTCTCCAGTTGGCCATCCCTGCTGAAGTCTAGAGGATAGAATGGGGTTAGACTAGCAAACGCTTTGTAAAAGGAGTTGAGGGCTGCCATTTATGATGAAGGATTATAATTATACAGTGACCTGAAGGAGAGTTTTGACAAGCATTCTGCCGCAGACATTTTGTAGCGCAATATTTTATTTATAAGCCTGAGTCTTTTCCTTGACACTGTCTTGAGACGCATTAAAAAGTTTCTAGAGTTGAAATAAACTGTTCACAAGGTTTTGATGCAAATTCAGGCAATTGCAAAACAGTTGCATGCTATTTTCATTGTGACTTAATAGACATAAACCACAACTTTATTGTAAATTATTTAGGCAAAATGGCATTACAAATCTGGCAACAATCAGCACTTCTACTGTCTAGGAGGACAACAGACCGGGCTTATCCACATTTACTTTCTGCCCCACTCTTTCAATGCTCCCTGTCTGAGCATGCGTTATTGCTTTCTGCCCCACACTTTCCCTGTGTTTTCCGCGGATTGCTGTTTGCTCCGATTGAGCTTTAAAGAGCGGGTGACCACAGGACAAACAATACAAACACATACCGGCTTGGACATGGAGTGTTAAAGCCTGGATGTCTGCATGGAAAGAGTGGAGGATAGGTGAGTGCAGATAAGCCCTGAGTGAGGTGCAGGAATGAATGGAACAGAAGGAAAAGATGCAGGGCCTTGAGCTAAGAAGAGGCAGTTGACTTAGATGTAAGGTTTCCATGAGACAAGAGAGAGCAGGTAGAAAGTGCCAGCTAAGAAGGGAAGCTCAGGCTGGCACTCACTCACCCACAGCTGCAGCTGGTCTTTATAGCCAGATACCCATATTATTTGGTGTGTAACTTATTTCATCTGGTGATGATTCAAAGGCATAGGATAGAATAATAGAATTAATTCTTACCTCCATTAAAAAATCAAACGTGGGTTTTCTCATGTTGTGTCTTGTTACTCCTTTGTGACATACTGAATATTTAAGCCCAATAGTACTGTGGTTTAGCTAGTAGTATAGAGAATGAGAACAGCATTAGGTCATCAATCAATGCGACA